TGCCTCCATCGAGGAGTCGATTGCAAACGTCGTTCGCGACAGTCTCGTATCGACCACACCCGAGGTGTCCTTGCCACCTTTCAGCACCTCTACTGTCATCGATAGCATGGTACCTGCAGACCCGAGTAATGACATGCTGCCCACTGAGAAGAGCAACGTAACTGCATCAACTTCAGCAACTGACGCTTACATCTCAAACAGTGCGGACGACTTAGATGTGCCGGTACCTGTGCCCGAGTCATTGATAGCGACGACCTCACACTCTGTCATTTGCTCCATCGAAGAGGTGAACTCTGCCGAAGGACGAGTAGGAGTGAGCTCTGCCGAAGGACGAGGAGGAGCTGGAGGCGATCGATCCGCCGCCACTTCCACTGTTCCAGTGCCCCCCGCGATTCCCGTGTCGTCCTTGGTGCTGACTGAGCAGCCACAACCGACCGCTTCCCCTCTCGATTTGGTCCCCGCTGTCGCCGTAAGCTCCGCCGTTCAGGTCACCAGTGTAGCCTCTAAGGCCAACGACCTATATGGCGCTTCTTCAGTTCCCATCACCAGCCAGCTATTCGTCGACACGTCCCCTACCGCCAAGGAGTTGAAGGTGCCGAAACAGGAGCCGGTGGATGTCGACGAAAGGGCCGAAAACGACGACGACGTTGGCGGCTATACCGAAGATCACTCGCTGCCTATCGTTAGAGAACCGGAACCAAAAATCGACGATGGCACCGAGTGCCACAGAACCAAAAATGCCATGTAAGCGTTGTATCTTTTCGCATGACTTTTTTCTAAAAATGGGAATCGTCTCATCTCCTTCCGGGTGACTTATTCACTGCATGCAGAAGCATTGGCTTCGATGCATCGTGAGGGTTAAACGACAGGGCCACGAAAGGTGGCAGCCGTAAATGTAGAGATTATGAAAATGAGTTTGGTCCTATTAAATAAGCTGATTGAGCATAAGCCATTTACTCAGACTCATTCGCTTCTTGCATGGATCCTGAAACATGGCAGAAGTCAGTCAGGAGGCCAGCAGCCGACATGGAAGAATAATATAAGCACAGATCTGCCTTCGGATCCTGCGATCCTGGAGTAACCGATTCCTTAGATCAGAATCTTGTAAAAGCTGTGAATACAGCGGATATTACAAACCAAAGACCTTCTGCTTACCGTGAAAGTGATTATCTCAGCAAACATTTGTCTTCTTCTTCGTTCCTTGCCCTCTCGTCGGGTTTTCTTCATCTTTATTTCCTTTTTCCTATTCATCCGTTGTAATCTTTATCTTCTTCATCTTATTCCTCTCGCCCTTTCTGTTTATCTTCGTTTTCTTCTATTTTTCGCCTTCCTCGTGATCCGCTCTACTGTTTCTCCATCCTCTTCCATAATCATATTAGTCTTTGTCAACGTAATGCTGAATTAAGACCTCTCGAAAACTTCGCCATAGACTTCCGTTTTCTGCCACTTTTATCAGTCTTGATCCAGCGAAATTCTTCAGTTTACCCTGTCATCGAACAGGACGTTGTTCCTGTTTACAATCTCTTTGTGCTAAGTCTGCGATCAGTTCTTCTTCTAACGTCCCTGTCCACTGCCAACTTAACTTTTCCATTCGGGAGAATGACATCCTAGACTTGTTTTTTCTCTTATCCATTCATTCGTCTTTCTGTCTTTTCTTGTTATTCCCGACATACATCTTTCCATCTTCATCTTCATCTTCCATCGCCGCTTCTCCTTTCGGGTCGCGGAGGCAGACGCGTCAGAC